CTAGAGGGTATTATGCTCATTGAAATAAGCCAGGTGGCAAAAGACAAGTATCAAATGATTTCATTCATATGTGGAGTATAAGAACAAAGAAAAAACTGAAGGAACAAAATGGCAGCAGACTCACAGAACCCAAGAATGGACTAACAATTACCAAAGGGAAAGGGACTGGGGAGGATGGGTGGGAAGGGAGGCATAAGGGTAAAAAAAAAATGGGTGGGCATTACTATTAGCAGATATAATGTAGGGGGGAGGGCACAGGGAAGGCTGTACAAAACAGAGAAGACAAGTAGTGATTCTATAGCATCTTACTACGCTGATGGACAGTGACTGTAACGGGGTATGTGGGGGGGGGGGACTTGGAGATGGAGGGAGTCCTCATGTAATTGAAGATTTATGATATAAAAAATAAAGTCTATACCAATGAGCAGACTCTAAGCCAGCATTTCCCAGTGTTCCATGAACACTAGCTCTGTAGAATGGAATAGGGATTAAATAAAATTTTTAAGAAATGGTTAGTGGTCATATAAATTGATCACTAACAGAGGCTTAAATAAACTCAACTTTATTGCTTCACTACAGAATTTCTCAAGTTCTTTGCTATAGTATTATGCATTATGATTTTCTAACACTTATTTGACCAGACTTCTTTTTTCTTTTGCTTTGTCTTGTTTAATTTTGACTCACAGAGTTTCTGAGGACTAGCATTCTGATTAATGTACTTTAGTAGACACTGGTCTAAACAATGAAGATGGGAACTTTGTTGATAAAATGGTCCCCAAATGACATATCAGTTAGACTATGACCTGTTTGTGGTACACACTCTTCATTACATTCTTCAAAAGTCTCATTGTTCATGCAATGGCAGTATTGTGAATGAACTGTTTTGTTAAGTCAGCAAGCCAAGAGTAATAGTTAATAGGTTAGCACCTCTGTGGCTGAATGATTCCATTCTAAATTGGATTCTCAACCCAATCCTGGATCCAGTAGCTGAATTCTATCACAGCAGGTAGAGTGATTGCTTTTTCAAACTGCATTCATTTACTCCCTTAATATATGTATGCTCTGAAATGTCTCTTTTGGGAACAAGAAGCACAAGGCTGAGACTGTTACCTCAAAGTGGCTGTTTGCAAATTGGGAGCTTAATGCAGTCCACAGGTGGGGAAGGCATCAGGCTCTGCTCTGGCTCCCTAAGTCTCTGTTGCCATGCAAGAAGCAGCTGAGGCCACAGCTGGAGCTCTTGTTACCTTTAAGAACTCTTTTCCTTTAAACTCTGCTTGGCTAGTGCTTTTCATAAAATGTGTTTTCCATGAAAGAGCTATAATAATCTACTAACAAAATCCCTGGTTGGACCAGCCAGCTCTCCAAAACTCAGCCCCAAATAAGAAAACCCACCGAGCCTGGATTTTGTTTTCTGGTCTGTCTCCTTGCTCTCCCTTTCCTTCTCATTCTAATGATATTAATTCTCATTTGCTCTGTTTGAGCAATGTTTTAACACACAGAAGGCAGATTGTAAGGAAAGGCCATGTGAATACATACATGAACACACAGCAGTTGCAAGCATAAAATTAAATAAATTAAATTAAATTAAAACTTAAAGGGAAATTGAGTATAATTTTGTTCTCTCTCTATCTGTATGACTTTAGGGGAATAAATTCATCTTTGAAGGCTTATTAGTTTTTTCATATGTAAAAGGAAGATAAATAATAACTAACTCTATATGGTCATTGGCTGGATTAAATAATAAATGCCAAGCTCTTTGCCCCAAGCAATTGCTCAGTAAGTGGTAGATATTATTGACAATTTTTTTGATTTACCAAAATGTTAACACTGGTTATTTCTAGGTGATGGGGGTCTTGCTATTTCTTAGATTTTTATGTTTTTACCCAAATATATATAATATATGTAATGTAAATAAGTATAATATGCATTTAATTACATAAAGTATTTATGAAAAAATATGTATCTTAATATGATACATAGTCCAACCTTTTGCTTCCTGTCCCTAAGTTTTTCCTCTTGTACATATTGAGTCACTTTCATTTGAGTCAGGTGAGAGGATATAGACAAACAGTATATGTCTTGGGCACAAGAATGTAGGATACGGAGTTCCCTAGGGTGCAGCTAGTCAGTGCCATTCTTACAATTGACCCCAAATCTTCTAAGTTCACTGTTAGTTCTCCAAGATTAAAAGAAGAAACATAATGGATCTACCTTTCTTGGAACAGTATTGAAAACAAAATCAACTAAGTATTCAAAATAATGGAGAGGTCCTGGATTCTAGGACTGCTAAAATTATCTCTATTTTTCTCTTCTAATTTTGATTTACACCTAAGATAAAATACCTCCCTAGCTGCTATATATGTCTAGTTTTTAACTGCTTCAGCTAGATTGCAAACACCTGTATCTGTACTGGACATGTGGTTTATTTAATGATAATATAGTTCATTAACATGCTTGAGGAGTAAGAATTGGTTTAGGGAGCTTTATAATATTTCTCCAGTGAAACCCCGGAACCTTCCTGAATTTTAGTAGGTAACATAAGACTCTGAGGCGATGAAAGCTTTTGGTACATTCTAGGCAGAAACAGGCATCCCTTATTTTAAATCACTAAGACTCAAACATGTTTAATATATTTAACTGTAGAAATATAAAAAGAACTAAATTTCCTACCCCTTTTTCTCCCCTCCGTAGCTTAAAGGGTGCTGACGCTGGCAATGGAATCAGAGTGTTTGTACCTGATATCGGGATGTTCATTGCCAGTCTGACTATCTGGCTCGTCTGCAGAAACATTGTCCAGAAACCAGTGACAGAAGAAGCAGCACAATATAACCAGGAGTTTGAAAATGAAGAATTGGTAAATCTGAACTGATGCATCTTCCTTATTTGATTTCCGAAGGCGTTGATCCTTATTAGGTCATGGAAGTGGAATAATAATTGTGAGATATGCATAGCACTCTACGATTTGCCGCGCTTGGCTTAAGTGTTAACAACTACTCTGCCCAGGTCCCTGGTGGAGTTCTGATGGGCAGGCATCCTCGTCCACACCTTGGCCACGAGGAGACAAGTTTAGGGAACGTGGGTGCCTTTTGTGAGGCGTCAGCCTGTAAGGGCCAGACTTGATCCAGTGTTCTTTTCACCACATCTAATTTACCTTAGTGGTTAAGCTTTCACATTTGAAGTATGATGGCACATTAGTCTAGTCATTGCAAATAATCTTAGTTATTGCAAAACATTTAGAGAAATAACAACACTGGTAGTTTTGGGGGAAAAAAAGTTAATTCTATCTCGAAAGGAAGCTTTCCAGTCTGTGCATCTTGCTTTTCAGAGTAGAGTTGTATTAACCTGTCATACTTTGATCAACTTATTTTAAAGCACTTAAGAGAAAAAAAATACATTTGAAAAAGCATAAAAATTGAAAACAGGTAAATATAATGAGTAAAATGTATGTAAATTTCTAGATAATTAATTAATTAATTAATTTCTAGTTACATTTTAGTGGAAAGTGTTTCAGGTATAACTGCTGGACCAGGGAACATGTCAGATTTCCTTACAGAACATGGAGGGAAGTGTGTTGGACAAGTTGTCACCCTGTCCGCTGACCTGTTTTGGAACATGGCTATATCCTAGTAACTGTTCTTTGTTATGTGAGCCTAGGTGACATGGATTTTAAACAGTAAGAGATCTGGTAATTGAAAGATGAAATTTATACAGAAATAAAGTTGCTGAAAAGACTTCCTTTGGACACTTGACACAAGATACAACTACCAAATGTTCTCATTCATTAGCTTTGGCAAGAAATTGAACCTGTAAAACTGAAGTTAATTGAGATTAATTGAATTAACTGAAAACATATTGAGAATGGTAACCACAAAGACATAGCAAGAAAATTCTTCATTCCTTCAAAATACTTATGTGCTCACAAATAAGCAGCAAATTGCCTTAAAAAGCAAGAAAGAGAGGATGTAATTCAATAGACCTATGCAAACTGAAAATGATATTATTGCCTAAATCCTTCTGGGCAAAAAATATACAGTCACATTGTATATCAATATTCTGCTATTTTTAAGACAAATGTGAAAAAGGTAGTTGGTGTAAAAGCACTTATAGCAAGGTAACAACTAACCACATCATGCATCATGTCTACAAAGTACACATTAGTGTCTTAAAAATGGGTAAAACTATTGAAGTACTTTTTCTTCTTTTTGACTTCAATTTTAAGACAAAAGTTAGTATCTTAACCTCTATTGTTACATTTGAATTTTATTTGTAATATTTATAGTTTTGAAAATAATGTGGCTTAAATAATCCTTACCAAATTTATACAAACTTAGTAAAAGTAAACCCATTAAGCTTTCCAGATTTAGGATTTTTCATTATTGTTTATAAAGGCAAGACTATTTTTCAGTGGCCCTTATATTTTAGATGGAAGGCAAAGATTTATTGAAAATAGAGTGGACTCTAAAGTCAGACTAGTGACTGTGTGACACTGAGAAATTGTTCATTCTCTTTCATCTTCCGCAAAATGAATATAATACTACTATTATATCACAAAGTTGTGAGTACTAAACGAAAAGTCAAATAAAAGCAGCTAGTGCAGTGCCTGCTCATTTGGGTTACTTAATCAAATGCTACTTGCTCACCTCATTCTACTCATCTCCAATTTGAAAGGTACTAAAGCAATATCAAATTCAGGATTCTTTTAGAATGATAGAAAAGTAAATTGAATGGGGGGTTGAAGCCAGCCCACTCAGCAAAAGAATCCCTTCTGTGCCTTTCCTAACAGACAACCATAAATGAATTAATTACAAAGCTTCTTAAAAAGAACCTCTGGCAAGGGCTGCCATAATAAAGTACCACAAATTAAAAAAAAAAAAAGAACATGGACAAATGTCCTGTTGCCATAAAACTAGGAACACGTACACTGACCAACAGAAGGTAATGGTTAAGATCCCACAACTGGTGAAGAAGAAAGCACAAAGCAATTACATGGGTCAGCTCTAAAATTATGTTTCCTTTCTGACTGCACTCAATTCTCAAAAATTAAAATTACAGTATTTCTTCCATTTGAAATTTGTGTAAATATCTGTGCCTTATATGTTATTCTATCATTTAAAGAAAGCAATAAGACACTCTAACCATTATTTGTTTAGGCTTTGAAAATACTAAATGTCATTATTATGAGGTTGATTTCCTTCACATTTAAAGTTATTTTGGCCTGATTTAGATATTAATTCCATTCTCTTAGCACATTCCAAGCTACCAGGTATCCTGGGAGGAACAGGCTGGAGTGTGAACTTCTGAGGTGGATCCACAAGGAAATATTTCTCACATGTGGACAGTCAGGCTCAAGTCTAAAAAGAATGGAAGACACAGCCAAAATAAGTAGGGGAATTTATTTTATTTTTGAAGGCTCCAGCATACTTCCTGCTACTTATAAATCTTGGTGTTTGTATTAGAAGGCTTGGTTTTCAGGATCCTTTGAAAGGATAGTGTTTGGCATTGTTACTTCTTCCGTTTGTCTTAATGGAGAAATGGCAAGATTAATCTGCTGGTGCCTGGGAGGATTCTTTCCCAAATCCAGCATTGTTTTAAAGTAGCAGCTAATCCCCAGAGAAGACTCAAGAGTGTTTCCTAATCCTCATCAGTTTCATAATGAGGCTCAAATTTGCTGTTTTAAAGGACACCACAAATCCAAGGATTCCCCCCAAAAGCACTCAAGGGAAGTGGAGACCAGCTAGAAGTGGGTGGAGACCCTTGCCTTTTGTTTTGCGGAGGGCAGACCTCAGGAAGGCAACCAACTCAGATGCCGTAAAAGGCTCTCTTTCAACTGACCGTCTGTGCTCTTGTTTATTTGCTCACTTTAATTCAGAAGCAAAGCTACAAATCATGACAGGGAAATATTCCAATTCTAAAATCTTTTAAAAAATGAATTGTGTTATGAAAATCAAATTAATTGTGTAGAAAAGGGTCACTTGTGCAATGAAACACTGTAATTCCACCAAACTGATATCATCTTGCATATTTTTGTACTGCTTGCTCTTTCTAGCTATTTAATGAGATCTCAGGCCTTGTTTGTTTGAAGCAAGTAGTATTTTAATCTATTATTAAACCAAATTAATGATAAATCTTTATTTAAATAGGAATTTCAGTCATGATTTGGTTGGTTTAAAGAGGCATCTTCTAAATAGTCTGACAAATCAAATCTGAAGGATAAAGGGAATATTCCAGAATAAGTCATCCATCATCTGTTAAAAACTCAGGGATGCAACATCGAGGTCCTGCTAACAACATTTGGAAATTCATTCTGGACCTCAAAAACTGCACCCTCCTTTCTAACACCTAATATCTGTTAGGCAACAGCATTCTGGCACAAAGTGCCCATCTTGGCTGTAGATCCAGGTTTAGCTCTGAGGCTCAAGTAGCTTTTTTATTAGAGCAGAAGACAAAGAATGGAGAGAAACAATCTTTTTATTATCACCTTCCAGTCAGGCACTCAGCATCTGCTCAGCTCTCACCTGAGATTTAGTCCAAAGTCCCCTAAAAGTTTTCTAGGCTCTGGTTTTTCAAGCATACAGACATGACCATCTGAAACACAAACCGTTCTGAATGGTACGAAGCTGCCCTGTCACCATGTATGTATGTGCCTTGTGCTTCATGATTTGTGTGCCTCTCCCAGTCATTCTCAGAAACTGGGCAAGAATGTACTATCACACATCCTTCAGAATGCAGCCCTTGCTCTGCCTTCTCTGGGTGAGCTATTCAGTTTGGGTGCAATTTTTAATTCTACTAATTTTAGAGGCCATTAGCTTAAATAAAGAAAAAGGTTTTAATTAGAGAACATCATTGGACTGTTGTCTTCAAGGAAGTTTCAGGAAAGTTTCAGTGTTCCAGTATGAGCTTCACTCTGAGTATCTGTCACAGACTAGTTAACTTTGCATCTGTAACTAACTTTATTCCACCTGCATCTTCCCACTACATCTCACTGGACACAAAGTGAGAGCACAGATTCCTGCTCATCCCTTCCTGTGATAAAAGCACCTGGGGAGCATGCCCACGTGACCCATCAGTCAGCGGAGTCATTATCACATAGAAAGGCAGGTATGTTATTACTGACTGTATGCTAACTGAGTGAACTTAGCCTAGACTGGACTCAAATATGTGGCCAATAGTAAAAATAACTTAAAGAATTAGTGATTAGCACAGCTCAAATATCTTTAAACTGTTAAAATGAAGCCATTACCTTCCTTTCTATGTCATGCATTTGTTAATTGATTTCACAGTGTCACCTATTCTCTGCTTCTTTTGAAGGAATCAGAAGTCCAAAGTAGCCTTTTATCTTTAATAATATTTCTAGGTCAATGATTTTAGAAATTCTCAGAATATTTTTCTCTGTCCTTGGAATATTTGATAGGCAATGTGCATTTCAATTGCAGATAACAAAACACCCACATGGGAAACGTTTGGGGAAATCAAGAGCCCCAGGTCCTTCCATAAGGGTAGAATAGTCAGGTATGTGCTGAGACAGGAAGAACCAGTGTGCCCCACGCCTGCAACCTGCTCTGCCACCAGAACTCCCACATCACCACAGAAGTCCAAGTCACTCTTTAGAGGGTGATGGCGCCTTCCACCCCTCTTTAAACTGTGAGTACCCCTGCAATGGAACTGTCACTGTGACCTATTTGACATCCATTCGTTCCCCATGTTTCTTTCATAGTGGTGTGTTTGGGGGCAGGAGGTGCAGCCCTCCCCCTACACCAGGCAGCCTTCCTGCTGACCTCCCGCCTACGTCAGCAGAAGCACTCTCCACTCAGTCGCTGCAGCCAGAAGCCCGGATGTGATGCTGGATTCCTTGGG